AGCGTCTTTATTACAGTGCACCAGCCAAAAACAGAATTGCATGAAAGATAGAGAATGAGAAAGGGCGCAGAGAGAACATTCGAGGGTGCCTAGTAACTCTATAAAGATGGAATGAGAGAATGAGTGGAATTGCTAGACAGTTGTGGGCTACCATTATACAACCTCCTATAATACCCTGCAATTCTGAGACAAACTGCGCATTCTCTTCCTGTGTCTATTTATGAGTCTGTGCGTATATCGAGTAAACCGAAGAAAAACTACAGAAGTAGAAGGAAGTATCAATGGGACTGTATTCCATTGGGAGTAGTCTCCCATAAATCCATTCTCACAATTTCTCCAGCGAGACCACAAAAAAAAATAACATATCGCAGTCCGAGGGGTTGTTTTAGCGAATCAGACAAAGAAGGAATGAGAAAAGTAGACTCAAGAAATAAACGTAGACAAAAGACAAAAACGTGCTTGAAATTGCCAAAACTGACCATCGTATTTTATGATTAATAACACTCTCTAAAGGTCCATCACAACATTCATTTTAGCATTAAGATAATGTCAAAAACATTCATGTCATTTATTGTTAGCAGTTGTATTTTCAAAATTTCATGTAATAACGATTACAATCAAGTTAAATATCGTATTAATTTTTTTTTTTTGAAACAAAAAAATGAAATAAACTTTTGTATAATCGATTGTTACTCACCTTTTGAAAGAGGTAATTTATTTTCAGTTTTATAACCTTAATACAATATAAATAAATTCAATTTATTAAAGCAATAAAAAAATTCAAAACATCTTTCGATATAAAACGATTAATTAATCGTAAAATTGCGTAATTGAGTAGAATTAAATTAATGATTGATTAAAAGGATGAAGGGAATAAAAAAAAGTCATAGGTTGATAAATAAATTCAATTAATAAATTACATTGGGAAATGATTATCAATTTTCCTATCTCCTTTTTTCATAAAATATCGATTTTAAATAACATCGATAAGTTCATTAAAACTTTTTTTTCCATTTCTCAATTAGCAGAAGCCCGCATTTGATTAATTATTAATTACTCAGATTACTGAGAGAAACCCGCATCTGACTTTGGAATACTCACTGAGCGAATCCTAACAAGACCGTCAGAAGTTCACTGAAGCAAAAGGTACTAAGCCGACAGTGGGTAAGGATCTAGATACTACGGCGGCAGTTCAAAAACTTTAGCATGTACCGAGCGGTTTTCTCTCAGAAAATCGATACTCAGCTCGTCCGATGGTTCTGATGGTATCAAATGTAATCGATTTATAAAATTGATTTTTGACACACAAATAAAAATGATGATAAACTAAATTTATTATTTAACCATTTTTCAAATGAAAATGGTGATAAATTGATCTGATTTACGACCATGAAATTAATTTCTGTAAAATATTGAAATAACTTTTTAGTTATTGTTTAAATTATTATTTTAATTTATCTTCATAGTAATAACAGGTCGAGTGAATATTTTTTTTTTCAATTTGTATTTTATAAACGAAACATTATTATGATGTTAAATGGATGTTTTGAAAAAAAAAATATTAACAAATCCTTACGTATTTATATATAAAATCTTGTATTATATAGAATTACAGTAGATATATTCTGGAATAAAAAAGTGGAAAATGCCGTAGGGTAACAGAACTCTCTTATTGCGTTGAAATATAATGCATTCATGCATACCATTTACTTGTATCTGTATTTTAAAATTTTGCATCTCTAACAATATACATTATCATCACTTCTCTACATAGTATGTGTTGACAAACAAATACACATTTACTCTTATACATTCTCCCTTAATGAGAAAACTACCTATATTCATTTATCGTATTTTATCAGAAAAAAAATATATTATGAAACTAATAAAAAATAATGGGTAATAAATGACTGTATTAAGATATAAAAACAAAAATTTGCATACAAAAAATCCAATTTATTTTCTATCGATAATTTATATATCCATCAAGAGCAATTCAAATATCATTTAATTAAGGATTTATTCGCCACTGTAAATCGAAGTGTTTTATAATGGCATTTCTAAAGTGTGTTTCTATGAATTTTTATGTTAAACTTTCATAAACAAATTATACAATTTAATGCAGCTTAAACTATTTAAACCTATTAAGAAATTGACAAAGTAATTAAAAAAAAAAGTAATTATTTTCTAAAGATTAAAAACAGTTTTCCAATAAATCAAAATCAGTTGATAACATTGGTTAATTTGTGCAAATTTTGCATATTGAAACTATTTATATAACGCGTGACACTGCATTCAAATTTTTGATGGTGCGAGTAAGCGTAGAAAAAGAGGAAGGGTGAGAGAGTGAGGTGAGAGAAGAGATAGGGATTGAAAGTGGGAGAATATAAATTTGGTTCATAGTATATGCACGTCCTCTCTATGGACATATGTAATGAACCCAGCACAAACTTTATGAGTTTTGTGCATAAATGGCTAATCTGTCAATAAATTTGTTTACCAAATGGTTATAAATAATCTAGATAAAACAGAATGGTTCATGCTACCAAACTCTCATTCATGTCTCGCTTGTTTTTGATATTAAATAAATTAAAATCCACCAACAACCTATCTACAACCAATTTAATTATTTATTCTTAACAACTGAAGTTATAATTTATCATTCCAAGATTTATGTTAACATGGTATAAATTATTTTGTCACTAAAACAAAAGTGATATTGACATTTTTGAATTGTTATTAGAAACAAAGCATTGTCAATAAATTAACAATCATTGCTGTTCAGGTTGAAATTTATTTCTAATAATTTTATTACGGATATAAAACACCCACATCACGTAAAATAGAAGAAACCTCGAAAAGAAAGAATTTAGGGACAAAGTTTTCAGTTTCTATCGACACTAAATTAACAGTGGATTGGGTTTAAAGCAGGCGATTTGAAGTCGCTGCTTCCTGCCGTAGTAAATTACTGGAATAACGAGACATTAGTGGGCACAGACACGTAGCCAACCGCGAGATACAAGGAAGGGTACGCCAACGCCGCCAGCTAGGGGTGGGATAACTGACTCTGGACCATTGGATGGGGTAGATCTAACCCATTAGCAGAGAAAAGGTTTCAAAGGAATTGAATAAAAAAAAAGTAGCTATGAAAGAATTATTCTTTAGAGGTATTGTGTCTAATGTATATTTATTAGATAAATTTTCATCAAATTATAAATATATTTAAATAATACACGAAAAGGAAGATTGAGTAAGAATTATTACTTTGAGAGTGAGGAATTTTTAAGAAGTGAAAGGACAAATTTTACCATCTTGTAGGATAAATTGTATCCAATCGTTCTTTTTGTACACAAAATAATTTTTTGTTTAAAGTAATTATCCTCTGCGTCAGTATCTGACTGTTTATCCTGAAAAACACCTAATTAATCATTTTAATTCTCCATGACTGCTTAAAGAAGATGACAAGGAGAATTCACGAGTCACTTTTATCAAGTTGGCATTGTTTCAAGTGCAATATATATAGATAAATATGACACATGTAAGAGGAAGAAAATGAATAGCAAGTTGAAAGTTGAACGTTAAGCTTGGCAAACTTGGAACGCGGACGCCTGCTCGGTAATTAAAATGCTTTATGTACTAATTGCCAAGCCTCTGAGGGTACATTTAGTTGTATGTTTTGCCTTTTTTCTTCTCTCTTAAGAGCATAAAACATAATGTAAGAGTCAGGAGTCTAGTTTAGTAGATAATTCTAGAGCTTTCATGTGAGTTTCAGGTGATGGTTAACTAAATCAAATTTGATGTTTAATTTATATTACAGCCTGGAATAAAACGAATTAATTATAGTGGAAAAGTATAAGAAAATTCAGGATATATTATTTTACATATATAAAGATGATAATAAATAAGTTGAGTATTTCAAGATAATCGCATTAATCATTTCACTGTCATTCCAGACCGATTTCTCTTACTATATTATCTCGTACATGGATGACTTGCCACAGACAAAAAGCCCATAGCGTGAACGAGATACGATTAGGCGGCTTGATTTGCCAATAACGAAACCATCGACCGTAAGTAATTCGAGGACGATTCGAAAATAGTTTTCACGATAGAAAAATTTTTTCTTTTATTTTCATTTCTTTTGTATTTGCTTCGCACAATACCATAACATTATCCGACATTCATTCATGCAATTGACAATAATGATAATGGATACTATACGGTGTGATAATTTCAACAGTTGACCTATTTACTAATTAACTAATTATGAGCATATTGATTAAACAGGTCTGGAATTTTAACTTGGTAAACGATCGTAATTCGATGCACTCGTCTGCACCAGATGTAGAGATGATATTGCCTAAAATAATATTGGAAACATTAAATTTTCGTTATACTTGGAGTTGTGTAAGTGTACAAACGAATGGTAGGTAATTATAGTGTATGGTGATATGGTAGTAACTATAGCGGTACTTGCTCTTTGTACTACAGGGGGTTCATTAATTGTCAAAGGGGGACACAGATGCACGTGAGTAGGAATGCCGGCTGTACGTAATATACATTATCGCGCAGTCTCGAATGGTACAAGTGAATTTACAGATTCAACACTGCTTTGTTTACAAAAAAAATCACTTTGATATTTTGAACGCTTTAATTGCCATATAAATTTAACCATTTTTGTTGATGAGAATTCACAAATTTTTGTTGATTAAAAAGAAATATTTTTAATAAATGTTTATTATTTTAATCATTTTATTCAATCAAATTATGATAATTTTTTTATTTATATTTGACAATATCATCTAGATACCAGATCATAGATTTTCTTATTACCATTATTTTCATAAATGCCAATAAATAAATCACACTACATCATTAAACACAAGAACACAAATCAAAAAAATTTATCTGGAATATCTAATAATATTTTTTTTTGATAATTTATGTTTTCATTGAAATAATATATTTAAAACCAAACCAAAAAAAAAAAGAAACGATTTTTTATTCAACATATTATCTATTCGAATTGATTGTAGAAAGAATTTTTTTCATTTTGTTTTCTCACGAAAAAGCTCGAACAATTCGGATATTTACAGCAATCCATGAAAAAGAACCAATTTCAATTGGGATTGACCTCAACTCGGACTATTTGAGAAAAAAGAGAGAGAATGTAAAATTTTTGGCAATCAATAGAAAACAATTCACCGTGGCTTTGTTTCCAAGGCTTTTAACTTTCGCTTATTGCCGTACCGAATTGCAATTTTCAGTCGTTTCAAACTAGCACAACATATTCTACCGCAGGCAATTTTACAAATTAACAGCATTCAAATGAAATAATTAATCTGTGATTCAATCATGACATTTTTTGTCCAATCTATCATAAACTATTTATCATATTAATGAAAATTAATAGGTAAGATTATATACATAAAGTTGAATGGAATAGTAATCGCGGACAATTTAGATGGAAAATAAACCTGACAATGTAGCGACGAATCATTGCAATCGATTGGTAAGAATTCAATAGTTTGCCCTGGAACTAGCGCTCCCACGTTTCATAGGTCTTTCGAAAGGACTCCCTACGGTTTGCTATTCAGACCCAGATTCAAAGTCATAATGAAAAAGTTTGCAGCACGAAAGATTGAAAAAACGATCGAAACTATTGAAGCAGAACGATTCTAGTTTATGTGTCACTGTCGAACTTTTTTAGGAGTAAAAGCATTTATTTTAACTGAAGCTTAGAAATAAAAAGATATCTATTTTACCATTAAAATCTGTAATAATCGCATGAAATTAAAATATCCATGTAAATTATGAGAAATTATACTGTAAACTGTGCTTGAAGACTTTGTTATTGGGTTGTTGTAGTAGTTGCCGTGGTTCCACTCGATGAAACTGCTGAAGTTGGTGAATTTGGTGGTGCATAAGGACTTCCACAGAGTTGATCTGCGATACGACCACCCTCTCGCAAACCACTCAAAAAGGCACCGTGAACTGTGGCTGGATAATTACGAATAGTATGTTCACCTATTGAAGAAAATTGTTTCAATTATTTACCATAATTAAAATTTTTAAAAAATATACAAGCATCTATTTTTATAATTGATTTCAAAATTGTAATTGCAATTACTTTTTTCTTATTTCAAAATTTGAAATTAATTTATTCAATTAATTATTTATTTTTAGTTTAATTGAAAACTTTACAAAGCTAACGAACGTATTCAAACTATTTTAAAAAATTCGGGGTTGTTTATGTAACAAAATAAATATCAACAAAAATGTATTTTTGAAAGTTAACTTTATACTTTTGATTGGATCTAAAAATAAAATAATCAATGATCTTGAGGTCAAAGTGCTTTTTTAATTTTATCAAATAATAAAGAGGAAATTCAATATTTGATTTTTTCAGATACAGACCAGCAAAAAAAACTCTTGGTTGTGGTTGAGGAGTTCCTGGAGGCTGATTTGGTGGAGCTGGTGCAGCAACGGGTGCAGCAAGAAGGTCATAATCACTTCCAGAACTGCCTACTGCAACGTAGCTATAAGAGCCTCTTGCCCAAGGATCTGCTCGCCACCGTGTGACAACACTTTCGCGCGGCTGTGGCACGACCTGGTTGCCAAATATTCCCTAGTGGAAAATGCACAACAAATGTTTAGCCATCTATCTAAGTACTTGAACCGCACATTGGTGTAAAGTTTAAGTTAGTCGAAAACTCGGTACGACAAGTATTGTATGTAGATAACGTGTAACGACAAAAGATAGAGTACATGTGCTTAGTTGGGTGAGCAAGCATGCATGTAGATTGAACGTACTTTTAGCACTGCGATGCAACGACCGACAATAACGTCGTCACTGACATTTTCCATAACACAAGCTGCCTCGCCTGCGACAAGAGCCAAGAGAACGGGTGCCTTGTACAAGTTCCAGAACAGAAACAGCTCACCGCGGGAGGCAGTTGTGCTCCCGACATGCCCGAACAAATTAGCCGTTGGGTCCCAAAAAATACGTTCGAAACACAGCACCACCTGAAATTAAATAATAACATCACACTCAGTAAGACTTACTCAGCATTTACGTCTTAATCTTGAATATTTATTTCACTTTTATTTCTTCATCGATTTAATTAAGCGCGGAGTCGAAATCAAAAAACTTCATAAAAGTCATTTTTAATTTCTCGTCACATTTATTATCTCTCTTGAATCTGAAGATTTTTATAAGATAATTTACCGATTATACAGAGGAAGAAAGACTTTTACGTAGCAATTAATTGTTGAGATAATGAAGGGAATTTTTTTGAAATTTATTTCAATTTTTTCTATTATATTTAGGATGTAAATTAATTTATATAGTCATTTCAAATAAGCCATAGAGAAACAGTAAAACTATTTATGAATAAACTAATGAATGGTCTATGAATATTCTACTTATTTTACGGTTATTTGCATTTCTTCATTTAGCAAAACCACTTATATACATTTTTAAAAAAAAAATTATATCCTACTTTTTATTTCATGTAATTTTATTTCTGCAATAAAAGAATAACAAAATAAAAATACCTCTTGAATGCAACTGAACTTTTCAGAATTTTTTTGAGAAAAGTAAATTGTCATTTACCTTATTTAAATTTCCAAAGCCAAGACGTTGAATTGCTTGAGCTTTCCAATCTGGAAGCGGTGGATTGAATGTAACTGCAGAGGGTGCAGTGGTGGCTTTCAGTACTCCAAGTGGAAGCGTAACAAGAACTGCATCAGCTTTATATACGGTTGGATTGGTGTGAGGACTACGAGAAGGAGCGGTCCAAACTTCAACACTGTTTACTCCATAGCGTACTGCCCTTACAGCAGTATTCAATCGAATGTCCAATCCTTCAGACAAAGCAACAGGAACGCAAGAATAACCATTACGAACTGTAACACAAAGATAGAGAAAAAAAAAATGAATGTGCTGTCATGACCATAAACTTTACTAGTAAAATACACATAAACAATATAAATGTTACAAGAAAATATAAAATAAAAACATTGCAGACATTTGATGATAATGTGTTTTGATGACGCACGAGTCGAATCACGAAAGGGAGGCAAATTCAAATTCCATAACCATGATCAGTATGTTCTAATAATGACGCGCATGTATCTCTGCTCGCGGGTTAATTACCTTGATAGTTGTGCGTGGCTACCAAGCAAGTCCTGTGGCGTAGTCCATTTCGTTAATTAAAATTTATGCCACCAATCTGTTAGCCCAAGCGAAAGCATCGTAATTTAAATTAGCATTTTCGTTCATCGATCCCTTTATTATTCCATCTACATCCTTTTGAAAATATCTCAAGATGTTTACATTGATATTCTTGCACTATTCCAATGAACGTACGAGATAAATTATTGGATTATTTTAATTGATATTATAAATAATATTCTGCTTATCATACTATACTGACAACACTACATTATTCTCACAATAATTTATATTTTTATTGAAAAAGAGATTTAGCTATTGATATATTATAAAGAGACATAAATAATTATCTAGAATTATTTATTTTTAAATAAACTACTTTATTAATTATAATACTTTGGTTGATATCAATTATTTCAACAAAACGTTTTCATACAATTTTCAAACAATACTTTATATAAGAAAAGAATACATCATGTAGAAACCGTTTATCAATTTCTCCGTAATTATTATTATCCGCAGTGCTAATATTCACTTTCATGTATGCTGTTTTCATGTTTCAAGGAATTGCAGGTGTGATATAAAAGAAACAATTAATTTTTACCACATAAATTCCATATAGATCTCAGTAATTTACGGTTGAAATGTTGTATGTTTCATACAAAAACATTATACACTGTAATTTATTTTTTACTGAGAATCAAACAGAGCTATTTTCATACAAATCATTATTCCTTTATATCTTTAAAAGTACACCATCTCAGTTTGAATCACAGTAAGTATAAACATAAACATTTGATCGTGCTACGATGCAAGCATCTGCACTTTCTCTTCCATGTTCTTAGATCAAGAGTCGTGCATTCGCACGCGATACTTGTCCATTTTTACCAGCTCCCTTTATATACTATACGACCAAATACACAAGAGAGAACATTGGCAATACGCTGTTCCCTTTTCTGCTCGTTTATTCGTGATCGAAGGCGAAAGTAAAAGCCAGTGTTAGCTGTCGAGTTTTCACACCCCTTATGGCGAATATTCCATAGCGTAGACCCACCTCTATTTATTTAAGCCCTCACATTCTCCATCATTTTCGTTTATATCCACCATTCTTGCATCATCAAACTCTTCCCCATGTATTGCAGCGTGGTGAGCCAATTAAAACAACGTTAACGATGCGTTCTGCATTTATGCCTTCATTCATTGTGTTTTAGCGATGACATTTTTTTTAGATTTTTTAATAAAGAATCTACTGTTTGATTTTTCTCTCCAATTAAACGAAATTCATTGTGTAAAGTCAACGTTTTATGAAAATATTAATCTTTTCTTTATCTGTTTAGTTTATTTAACATAAATTGTTTAGTGAAATTGACACATTAATAAATTTTTTCTATTGAAATAAAAAAAAAAAAACAACAACAAGAACAACAACATAATAAAGTTTATGTGAAGTAACATAAAATTGTCAGTAAGATTTTTTATTGCGATTACCTGACCACTTCAATCTTCTCGTTTTGTGTTAAAAAAAAACAAACGACAAAAAATGGCATCACACGCGAAATTGAAACATTTACGAAATTACCCAGATTCTTCATGTTATTCAATCTCTCTATCTCTCTTTGCGTTACTATTATAAACATCCTTTTTATTCATTTTCTACTATATCAACCACCCACCCTCTAACCGTGTCGTCTGTTTGATCTTAGCTCTCACCAGTATATTTTGACGCTGAGTCGAACAATTTGTATGCCACGGTGGTTTTCAATTTACATTTAAATTGGTTGCTTATGGCGTTCTGTCGCTCGACGGGAGTCGAACCGAGTGCCGTGTTAGGGAACAGTCAAATACTGAAACATCCGAGTGTAGCAAAATGAGAGAGCAAGAAAGAATGAAAGAGAAAGACAAATAAGCAACGGACCTAAAGGGTTCATTGAACCCCTTCGGGTTAGTTTTTACCAACCTCATGTTCATCCAAGCCCTTACCAACCATTCAATCGGTGAAATACCAACAGTCTTTCTCGCACATCGTTTCTTCGTATCAACGAACTTGCAAGCACGTGAAAATTCGACTAAAGTAAATGCAACCTCATATATATATACTATCCACACATATACACCAGCTTGAAGGCTCCTATCCTCAGGCTTTTTAATTCCCTTGTCCCGCCGGATTCCAGCCACCAACACTTTGTTTGTGAATTATTCCAGCAAATTGGATTTACCACTTAAAATCTCAGGAACGTACATTGAACACCACCACATCAAATACACGATACAGTAGTCAATATCACTGTTAATAAATTCCAAAAATAAACAATTATCTATAATGAAAGAGGAATTCATTTATCTACGCTTTCTCTTTAATTCCTATTCACAATAAATTTATTTTTATTCACTAATCCCTATCATAATCTCCAATATAAAATAAAGCAAGTTTAGTTGTATCGATCTGACCATCTTCATGGTCGTTTTCAGTAATATATAGGCTGTATCTCAAGCCAGCAAATTACTTTTTTAAACACAACGAGATAGCGGTCCTCTCTTTCAATTTACTCCAAATCGTTTGTGGATCATTCGGACCACGAAGCATGCGCCCACCGTTTATTTTCTCAACAGACTCGTAAGAAGAGTGAACAAGAAAAAGACAGAAACTCCAAAAGATACATAAGAGAAAACAGAAGACATATACTGACGCTGTAATTACTGAAGGAATTATTGCTCTGCGACATTCAGTAGCTTCCGAGGATACTTGGCGATCCTACATGTTGGACTTGTAGGCAGAAGAATGGATGGACCAATGTGTTGTATGAGCGGCTGTATTTTCTCGCGATACTTGCAGACATTTATTTATTTTTAGTTGTTTATTCTGAAAAATAACCAAAGAAGAACTGAAGAACGTTCATTATTATATTATTTCAAAGCCTATTGATTTAAAAAGACCCAACCTACGCAAAATACAGGTCTCTCAACTTTATACACATCTTTTTTTTCTTTTAATCTATACAATCGACCTACGTCAATGTAAAGCCCTTAAGAATCACTTAATATCCGGGTGATTTAACTTTAAAAAAGCCCCTACTCTCCATAGCAATGAGCTTGAGCATCATTTTTACTTCCTATAACACTTATTTCAAGGGTAAGAGTTATATTATTATACATGTAATTTATATGAATTGATCATTCGAATAGATACAAACAAGAGATACTAAGATGCTTGTTATCACACACACACATATATAAGAATAAACACAAAGTTGGTGGAATGTTAGTGATGTAACGAGTGTAAGTTGTCAAGGATGGGTCATGAATCGCAACAAAGAGGATCAGATTGTTGAGGAAGTAAAATGGTAAAGTAGTTGAAAATGATGTTATTGAGGGAAAAAGGGACTAAGCTTTGGTGACTAGAAACTATTTGAGGATTTCAGAGAGAAGACAAAGTGCTGACATGGTCACCCGGTAAGTTAGAAATGAGGGTTTGCAGACGAATGAACCCAATGGGTAGTCGTTATGAGCGGAAAGGATTCCCACGTGAAAAGTCAATGACTGCTGTTAAAGCTCAGCACTCGAGGGAGGTAGAATTTCCCAATTGCCGTCTTACAAGATAAACATTAACCTTCCCTGCAATTGAAACTTATCATTATATATCCTGATAGGATTTTTATTATCTAGAAGTATGGAATTAAATGATTATCAGCACAAGGATATATAAAGGCGAGGCTATTTTTTGCAGACTTCTTATTGCTATACTTATTCGAGAAAACAGGCGAATGACAACGGCCTTTTGAACGGGCCTGAACAAGGCTGTCTTTTCGATAAAGTAATCGTTACGGAAGAGAAAGAGAAAAGGGATAGTTGAATTGGGAATTTCTTTCTTGCCTTGGGTCTCTATTGAAAGAAGCAGTGACGAGGAAATTCAATTTGCTAAGAGACACTGCGTCGAGGTAAAGTTTGTCGGGCGAGCGGCATGTCGAAGCTGGCTCCGTGAAATGTTATCATCCTCTTGGTACTTTCCGTTCCTCCACGTCTTTCTCATTCACTCACGTCCAGTTCAGCACCCGACTCACGAACGACCCCATTCCTCAACTTTCCCTGCTCCATACTACGACTATGACGACGATACCGTGGCGATGATGGTAATGGTAACGGCAGTGGTAGTAGTCATAAAAAGAAACAAAATCAACCAGTTCACTCAGCGTACTTCTCATCACCTTATTTTATGATTTATACATCAAATTGATGCAATTCACAAATTATTAGCATGCTCTACAAGCTATTTTAAATTTAAATATCCACTGATTTTCTTAGAAAAATAATATTCTAAGGAATGTCCTGTCTTGTATCCAAAGGTAAGTAAATTCCTTGAATAATAGAATTATTTAAATTAAGAAAGAATTTTTTATTCAAATATTTGTGATGAGTAACATTGAAATTTTTCACGTTTTTTTACATAATTTAATTTCACTTTTTTTTTTTCATAAAATAATTCTTTTTTACTCATAAATAATCTTTTTTCAATTGAAGTAAATTTTAATTAGTGATAATAAATATGTTAACATTTTTTATTTCCATTTAATAAGTCCGATGATTTATGATGTCGTTTTTCTACTACTGTAGGTCTAATAATTATTCTCAACAATAATTCATAACATTTATATTTTTTTAATTTTTCTAAATTCCTCACTACCAGACTACCTCTTGACATGAGTCTACGATCATTAAATCCATTCATTTTCATTGTGCATTGAGAGGGAATTTTTACTTGGATCAATTGATTTGCTCTGCAGTTAAAATGGAGTCGACAATGTCTCTATAATATCTACGTCTGTCGACGTAATCATAACGTGTGTAAATGAAACACATCAAGTCTTGCGTAATACTGCATGAAATATTACTTCGCACATTATTTGCTTCAGGTATATACTTATTACATTCATTCCATTATTATTTAGCACGAGGTGTAATGATTGTTATAATTGAGAAGAGTGTGGATAACTACTGCGATATTTAAACACAACCGTGAAAGGTATATCATTACAAAAAAAAGTAGCAAAGTGAGAGAAATATGATGATAGAGATGTTTTATATAAATGGAGTCGAGGGTATATAGAACGTCAATGACAGAGTAAAATTGCTCAGGAATATGCAATCTCTTGGTGTGATGTATATACGTAAAACCAGTGGGGGTTTGAGTCTTGTCCATGACAGGACAATTTTCGATGTCACCATGAATCGAATTCGTTCATTTAATATCCACTTTAGTCTTCAGGAATTTCACGAGTCAATTTTTCTTCATCAGAATACCACGACCCTTGAGTCGTTAATAAAATTAGCATTGCTACGAAAAGAAAAATTAAATATCACAGTAATAAATGATGCCAATGGCTAATAAATATAATGATGATTTAATAATTGAAGGTGATAAAACGTGAGAAGAAATGGGCGTAGTCATAAAGGGAAATAATTAAATAAACACACTAGGTATGCAATGTATAATTCACATGAGCATAGACATTGGTTTGGTGTTTGATTAGTAGGCAACAACTGGTTACTTGGACGACCCAGTGCAATAAAGTAAATACTAAAGACTAAAGCAAGCAACAAAATAAGAACTAGCGGCCCATAAAAAGAAGAATGTTAGTTGCCTCCTCGCCGACGGCATACAACGCACATTCATTCCTTCTATATATTTCTTTTCACTCTTTCTCTTCTTCTTTGTCATTATTCCGACGTTCCTATTTAATTCCGTGGTGTGTGTGTGTATTTTTACGTTAGAGAAACTGTATATTACTGTCTTTGGTCCTAGTTAATATTGATTTAAAACACTTGTGAACAAATATTTTTCAACCGAACCTTTGGCTTGTGTGTAAATCAGAAAGATACAAAACTATTATTGCAATGTTATAATTTTCAGATAATCGATTTTGTCAGAAAGAGAAGCAACGGGAATAAGAAGAGAATATGAGATGTTCTTTTTTTTACGAAACGAGAGACTTCATTAACGTATATATAAGTAAAGATATTTACTTGATGGGCTTTCGGTGGTTAGACGGGTGTGAGCGATTTAGTGGTCTCGCTCAGCGGTTGGCTTTAACCCAGTCGAAAACGTAGCACCGATTAGTCAAATTTTTATATGCGAAATTGGCAGTAACGTGGTCCGGCAATGGCTAGCTGTTTGCATTTCCTTGGACGTAAATATCAAAGAAGGATGGCCGCACTTTTCAAGATGCCAAAAGGTAAGTGGGCAAGAGCAAAAATGTTTTTTGCACATCGCTAACTTATGATTATGAGACGACGTCATCTTCTGTGTTCAAATTGTTAAACCCACCATACCAGCTCCCTCATTCTTACCGGGAGGTCCATTCTTTCATGACTATTTGCCATCTCCGTCAAGCGTTTTGCTTGATAATTTACTTACCATCGTCATTCTTTGCTCATGACTCAGGGTGAAAAATTTCTTTGACGTCATATAACAAATGTTTTTTTTTGGTAAATCATAAATTCAATGATAAGAAATTTTTTTTTTCCAATGTCTAATAAATTATTTCCAACAGTTACTTTTCGAATATTTGAAAATAATTATCATCGAAATTGATCACAAATCTCCTTTTTATTATTTTAACAATCATAAAATATAAATAAAAATTATTAAGTGAGTTGTTGACCTTATTTTTTATCCTAATAGATATCATAAAGTCAACTTGAATGTCAGTCGTTTTCAATAAGTAAATCACAAGCTTTTAGTTGACTCCCATCAAAAGTAATGCTGTCACACATTGAACGATACAATCATTGACATCAGTTCCGGTGATTTTGTAGACTTTTGTCTCGCACATTCGACCAATTGGTGGCTGATGGATCGCGATGGCTTTGAGGCGCATTAGGAGAAAAATAGTCTTGGGTAGTTAGCTTCAATCGAGGTGACGAACCGTGCCAGTCGGGTAGCACTTTTTCTGCTTGGATGATCACTGTCAGAGAAGCAAAAGGCCACTTACCAGACCTGCGCTCTCACCTCACGCATTGCTCCATCAATCTCTTGTAACCTACCCATGTCTTTTTACTGTGCTAAATTTATTACTGGAGGTCCTTGCATGCATATGTTTGGATTGCAAGTATGTGTGTGTCTTAATGTAGTTTGGAACATTTGTGAGTTGATTCTACGACGTTGAGAATCAGTTTATAAGCGCCATTCGTGACAACAGAGATGTAAATATATCTTTTCTTTTTAATTAGATAAATATATTTTTTTTGAGTACATCTTTTCTTTTTCATCTCTTTTCTTTTTTATTTAAATTAAATTGTTTTTAAATGAAGAAGGACATTAAATTTCTCATCATTTGCAATTCACATTTAAACTATTCTGCTCGTTGGTCTGAATAATACGAAATCAAGATTGAATCTTGTGGAATTCGAGAAGAGGCCCGACGTAATACAAAGGTGCTCGGAGAATGGTTGAGCCGACGGTTGAAATTTCTCTCTGCTCCCGCTCATCCCTTACACCCTCGTGCTCTTCAATTTCACGCACGTGTTTAGTGTGCCATGAGCGTGACACGCGAGAGTTGACATTTCAGGAATGTCAAATTGCGTATCTCTAACTAACTGTGAACTATACATGCCGTTGGTGAGTAGATTGGGATGCATTGAAAACAAAAGTACAGACAAAGAAGAATGAATTAAATGAAGCCAAGACTTTTATGTTCGAGAAAAAGAAATTCAGTATGCGGGTATTAGGAGGAAATAAATGTAAATAAAAAAAGGGGGTTTTAGAATAAAATGAAAAGACACCGCTTGGCCAGAGCCACCAAGGCGGCCATGGCGTCAATAATTTCTGTATGTAATGAGGCAAACTGTTGTTCGCGGGCGGACAATAACGTCCATAATTCACTGTCCACGCTCGTGTCGTCCTTCCCGTCCTCTCCACAGTTCACGCACCTTATTCGTGGAACTGAAGATGCGTTTGCCGAATTATTCGTCTTTTACAACCAACAAATATACTAAGTCCACTCGATTGCTTACCTGGTATATTAATTTGGAATTTAAACTTTTTATACAAACTAAAGAATTTTATGAACTGTTTTAAAAATGTATATTTTTTTAGTTGAAAGAGAACGAAATATTTTTTATACCATTTTTGAATAATAAAAAGATTTTAAAATTATTTCTAACAATTCAGAGAAATGAATAAAATTTTTTTTTTGTAAAATATTGCAGTTTTTGATACAAAACGAAATATTGTACTTTAACATTTATGAATTTTGAAATTTTCATCAAAAAAAAAAGAACAACCATCTATCAATCGAGTGAATATATTATATCAAAATGATCGTTATTGTGTGCCAACATGGTAGATAACATACAATAATGATTGACATTGAAGGGTAGATGAAAAAAGATTGCATATTTTTTTATTTTATCCTATTTTACGACAATTAATTACTTCAAAAAATTGGCACAATTTTATTTCGAATCATTATTATTATTTCTGTTTATTAATTCAAAAATGATGAAATATTATTTTATCGTGATAATCTTCGTATTGGAAGAGAAAAAACAAAATGCAAAAATGAATAACAATGATAACGAGGTGTTGTATGAGAATGAAAACAAAAGACAAAAAAGAGTGTAATAATGCAACAACATTGTTGTGCAGTACTCTGTTAGTGAAGATAATAAAAATAGAATTATGTCGTGGCAAACGAGCCATCATCTCATCCCGTAAATCATTATCACTCGAAACGGTGAAATTGTATTTAATTTTTTGGACGTTCGATTCGTTTTATCGGTCCTGCACGGCAGGGAGTCGACCAGGCACCGCGTCAAGATTAATATCTCATGGCGCGCGGGAGTATGGTCGAAGGCTAACTCGCGGTTCTTCGACCGTAAGGTGTGAAAAATGAGAATAAGAGAATATGAAATAGCCACGTGGGAGTGAGAAAACTCGTTGTCCCTCTCGTGTATATCCAGCTACACTACTTGCAAAGAGATGCTTCCAATTTTGTCGAGAAATTTCTTTCCTTCTTTATCGTTAATATTTTTTCTTTCTTCCTATCTCGGTTACCTTCTTATGTAAATTGAACAATTTGTTTTTTTTTCTCTCTTTCTTCTTTCTCTCTCAATATTATACTGACAAGTCAAGAAGCATATTTGTTTCCATTAATCCGATGTCAGTTTGATAAATAAAATCATTATCACACGCATGAAAGTATAATTTTAAATGAAATTTTGAAAAACTATCGTTCCAAGTTATTCATCATAAATATGATGAATTTTTATTTGATAAATTCCTATCATACTCTCAATTTAACTTAAATACCGAGATATCAAGTTTACGGTTCAATTCAACTCGTCACTCATAGTTATAGCTTGAGAATTAATCACCTCCCGTCATACGATAAGCAAATTTCCGTTCTGATCGTGAACGTCAAGATGCCTCCTGGGGGTTGAAATGCCTCAACTGTACCACCGGTGCATCTTTATTTCTTTTTCTTTTTCCATACACTCTGTCGATCTGGCTGATTGATCAATCACTGAATTCTCTTGATACGCAATCATTGGTGCATTTCATGCCAATATAAATATCATCATTCTACTGCTGAAGAACGCAATTAAATCCAATTAAGAATAAAACAAACCAATGTGTAATTTATCAAAGTAAATTCCGATACACAATTACAACGTATTAGTCTAATTGCAGTCTGGAATTATTGATTAGTTGATTGCTCACGTAGATAGATTAGTGAATGTTAGACACTCTACTACTACTACAGTACGTTAGTTTTGGATGAGAAACGCGCCTCAAGCCCCATCTCTTTCCATCGACTTCACCCGATTAGTCAATTTGTCGTTTCGCCGTCTTCTTTCAAGTCGTGCCTGCACGTCTTCTTCCTATCTTTCTTTCGTGATCGATCAGTGGAGGTAGAAAGGTAAGAGGAATGCCGTGAAGCGAATGCAAGAGAAACGGCAAACAACCGACAGATGAAGTAGGTATCCAGAGTTGAAATGTCTAAGTCTCTTTTCCGATAACTTTGAGAATCGATTATTGAATAGCAAGAGATATCGGGGATATTTAATTTGTGATTAATCCAATCGAAAGGATTACAAGATAATCGTTTTATAAGTCAATTATTGAGATGTCTGTGCAGTTTATCCATGGAATTATCCTCGTAAAGTGTCTAAATTATTTAAAGATAATAATAGTAAACGAAAAATGGGTAAACAACACCCATACAACTGTCATTAAAATTTTAAGCTGAAGATTTAAAACGTTTAACCTTTTCTCATGTAGTATAGTAATCCTGTTACATTATGAATATTCATGACTCCTGCGTAGCTCGGGATAACGGGATACTAACATTTCAAGATCTACTTTAAATATTTTGCAAGTACCACCCACAAAATTTGCAAGATCTCGCACTTCTCTTTCCCTAACTTTTTTTTTCTTAAATATTTTAAGCATTAACTATCTTACTAATACCAGTGAGCTATTAGCTAAATGTTCATCAGTTTTTTTAACTTGACATGTAGGCTGATCAATTAACTAGACAGGAGAGGAAAAAAATTAATTCTTCTCCTGAAAGCTTTTTTTTTATGTCTATATATTGATGCAGTTTGAACTGAACTACAATCAGCTGACTCTACGTTTCCATTTACCCAAGTTGAAGAACTGTCTTCGCTCAACATTCCATTAATGCCATCTCATTTTGCTAATTGCACGGTATACCTGCGGGAGTATGAACGCGATCCTCACGTTGTTCGACAGTCGAGACCCGCAGAGAATCGCAACACGAGTCTACCGAACTTTCCACTTAATTAGCTGCTGCACACCATCACAGTTCTCGAGCAATTCAACAGCCCAGCGGCATTAACAAAGAATTTTTAATTCTTTACAAGACATTTCTTTCATATTTTAAGAAAGGAAATAAAAAAAAAAAAAGCCAGAGTGATAAATGATAATTTTTTGAAATTGTGTTCACCGAATTGTGCTAATTCGATTTCACAAAGAATTTTAGTAGACAGAAGAACACATTAAAAAAATAATAAAACCCGTAGGCTCTTCACAACAATTTGATACTTGATTCCAGGATGAATATCACGCGTGACATGAACGAGACGCCGAGACTGCACAAAATGAGGGCTTGTCGAGCGAAAAGACTCGCTAAAAATATATAAGTAACGAATCGAAACCACTTTTAACCCGCCAAGGAAAGAGATTTATGTGCAATGCAACGCCTGGCAGCCGGCATTGGCGTCTTGACGACATAAATCAAAAGGAGATCAGTGAGTAAAGCTTATGAAAAATCATACATTAATATTAATAAGTCTTTATATTGTGCTTTCATCTGGTAGATGAGACTAAATCCTTGACGATCGAGATGTCATTGACCATCACAATCAGTTTTTATCCAACGATTCCTATACTACTGCACTTACATGATAAAGAAAAGCTAAGTAATTCAAGAAAGTCATCTGTTCATGAGATCGCGTGTATAAGAGACACTGAAGGAAGGAAATAATCACTATGGTAAGAGATACTCCAAGTAGGGCTTTTGAATGGTTCGCACCGTATGGCGGAACGATCCAACAACAATGGTGCGAGCGGCTCGTGGAAATGCTAGCCGAGGCCACACGCATCCAAGTGAAAAACTAGTATCGACCGATATTTATGTGGTAATACGACAGTCGGTAGCCATACGTATTGCACTTTGTTAATATCATGTTTCAGCTGACTACTATCAATGCTAATGCTTGAGATGACGTCAAAATAAATAATTATCATGCACAGGGAGAAATGAGTAGAATAAATCAATTTATATTGTGTTTCATTTTATTCAAAACGTGATTGCATTTACTTTTTTTATGTGTATTCAATAAGTTCCCAAGTAGTAAGTACTAAAGGATAAGAATTACTCCAAAACAAACATTTAAATCTATTTGGAGTAATTAATTTTTTTTTTAGTAATTGTTATTTTAGATTGAATAGTTTTTGCTATACTTTTACTTTACTGGATTGCTATTTGAATCCTGCACATGACTGACTTGATTTTTCAGATG